ATATGTGGACGAGGATTCTGGGTTATTAGCTGGAGAATGAGATCTGGGTCTGCCGGTGATTATTTTTAGATCAGTTTGATGGAGGAGGTGGGGGGAGCACAGATGTGTCTGAAAGAACAATTAACACGTGTCAGAGTGTGAATCAGAGGATCGGAGGAGGAGGAGGAGGAGGAGGAGGTGGGAAGCGGTTACACATTCTCGTCACGTTCGCTCAACAGATCAGACGTCCAGGAGAATGTTTGAGTGACTCACACAGGCCGCTCTGTAGAAACGACTTTATCCTCGATGGTTCGATGAAGTGAGGAGAAGAGGAGCGGGGACGGAGGAGTGAATCTGTCTGTCGATTGGCTGAAGTGTGAAAGTTTTGCTCATAGTTTGGTCCTAATGGACCAAAACGTCACAGTTTTCAGTTCAGTGTTTTAAACATCGTCAGTGTCTGACCTCAGGTCGACAATGAAGAAGAAAACACGGAGAGAATAAACTGAGAGGTGGAAGAAGAATTTTGTTTTCAGGAGCTTCTCCGGTAATAATTCTGAGAAAGCAGATATATTTCACCCCCATCCCCCTTTTATATCCCCTCCATCCTTTCATCTCTCCCTCCTTCTGCTTTGCCTCCTCCCCCCTGAGTCTCTTCCCCACCAGGCTTGTGTCTCTCTCTCGCCTCCGCTCTCTCTCATTCCTCAGTGTTGCTCTTTTGTCGCTCCTGCAGCTCAGGAGGAGAAAAGAAAGTCAATTTGCTCTGCTGAAGCCAGCTGAAGCTTCCTCCTCCTCCTCCTCCTCCTCCTCCTCTTTATTCTCCACTCTCATCTCTGCAATCAGAATCAACACACCCCTTCTGCTCAGACTTCCGACCCCCACCTCCTCTTGTTCGGATCGAGGGGAGGGGGGGAGGGACAAACCAGAGAATTGCTCCTCTCAAGGCAGCGTCTACGTCAGAGAGGGACGCTGTTCACATCAGCGGATGCACTCTCAGACACAAAGACACCTGGCTCTGGTTTGTTTGCATCCTCTCTCTCCGTCTTGCCGCCAGACCGGAGAATAAACACACCCACGCACAAACAGCAGCCCGATCCTCTGCTTCTGAATTTTCATCCGTCTTTTCTTTTTTTTTTTTTTCCACGATCGCCACACCCTGCTGGGCTTGTTTCGGGTTTTCGGGATGTGTTAGTGAGCTTCATGCCACAGGTAATCTCCCACATTTGACAGGAAGCGCTTCTTGAAGATGAAGAAAATCTGGTCCAAGAAAAGATTTCAGGTGAGGAAACTCAGTTCATTGATTCGATGAGGATCATTTTCTGTATCCATGCAGATTGTCTCAGGGATGAGTAGATCATTACATTTGGGACGTCATGCCACACCCTCTATCTGATAATGTGATGCAACAGAATAAAATCCTAATTTTAGGGAATTTATTTAAAACATGCAGAAAATGCAAAAAGTACAGATCGGTTTGTTTGTCGAGGACAAATCAGGACAATTTACCTAAGAAAGTAAACTCTGGTTTTAAGAGAATGGAAATAATCGACTGAAAGTCTCACTGAACCTGGAAAACCCCGATAATAATCTGCTTTTGCATCATCAAACAGCCCAAACGTCCGCTGCCCTGCCTCCGTACGCTGGGGCACATTCTGTGTTGTGAAATGTGCATCAGGCGCCGGCAGTGGTGACAGTTTTGTAGCTTGATAAGTAATTCATAGAGCAGGTTTCACAAAGTCGGAGCTTGTGGAAAGTGTGTCAGTAGGCTACACATGGACACATGAGAATCAGGGCAGCCAGTCACGGGCTCATGTCTGGATGTCTGCTTCTTCCTGCTCTGAGCTCTGCAGCACGATCGAACCCCTGAGATGTTTTCTTCCGCTTCCAGCTGCACAGATTTTCTGGAATCACGCTGCTCGTACCCTCTGATTACACATTTGTTTTTTTAAGTATTTGCCAAATTTAAAATTGAGCCTCCTCAAGGCGAAGGCGCGCGTGGCTGGGCTTTGCCGATATTATTGCCCCGAGGCCGAAAAAAGATCACGACAATGCCGGGCGCTTTCTGCCGGAGCCTGTCGAACTACAGTCGCCACCAGGCGACAGTTAATCGAATCGCCTGACGCGAAGACGACAACCAGTGGGGGGTGCGAGGAGCGAGCGGAGGGCAGACGAGTGTGAAACGAGTCGTTTCACTTTTCGCTGCAAAACAGTGAGTCACTGTGGGGAGCTCTCCTTGGTGCTGATTGACAGACTGTCCGAGAGGCAGTTTCACCAGCTGCTTCCTCAGCAGGGACCGAAAACACGACCCGGAGACGTTCTGTTCCAGACGAGACCGCGCAGCTCCGTATTTAACATGTGGCCTCCGGTCAAACTAACGATGAGCTGGGAGTCGTTTCCTCGAACAAAGAGTCAAACCTCAGTGTTGGTGATCAGGTGCTGATTGGTCGCAGGAATATCCAGAGTGACGTTCGAGACTAAAATCTAAAGGTTCACTCTTCTCTCTGCCTCGAGTGTCGAGTTCTTAGAGTAGAAATACCAAAGACAACAGGAAGTGAGAAACATCCTTTATTTATTTGTCATCAAACAAGAAAACCAATGTAATATTATATTTATATTTAACTCCTGACCAGCGATCACTGAAATGACTCTCTTTTGTTATTGTCGTGTATTTGGAAAAATGAAATAAAGATGAACGACATGACAGCTCCCAAAAGTGAAGCCCCCTGGTGGCTGGCTGCAGTATAGGTCATAAAAATCTAAATTCACGTTAAGTCGATATTTCTAAAAGATGGTTTTTTAAATGTTAGTTTGGTTTTAATTAGTTATTTGATGATACAAAAACGGGCCGAGACCTTTTAACGGACAGAGATCGATGGTCAATCTGGACATTTGAAGACTCGGACTTGTACGTGGTGACGTTCTAATGGCTGATCAGCAAATTATTTATGAGAGAGAGAGTGAGGATAATAATAATAATAATAATAATCATAACTTCATTTTAAATCCTAACTTCAAACTCTCCAGCTTTTCCGATCCTTTCACTGAGAAGAACCTGGACCTCCCTGGTTAAATCTGTTTATTGTGTAGAACATTTAGTCGTCACGACATTCTCCTCCGGCGTACTGAAAGTGAAGGATTGTGGTCCCAGTCACCCGGGGAGAATAATATAGTTTACGCTCGGCTGTTTTGTGTAGAACAGAACCGTTGGCTGTGTTTGCTGCTGAATAATACATCGCACTTTGTGTCTCGTTTCAGAGAACTGGGCATTCCACACGGACATTTGGCAGATTCACCCATGGTGTGTTGTCAGTATGAGCTTCACTCAAATCCTCTTGTTTTCTATTATCTGTGAAAAAAAACCAGCGAAGTCACTTTTCTCCTTTCTCTCCGTCCTTTGTGCTTCGACTGCATGTGCTTCACTTTGATTTGTCCCTCTAATAAGACTTGAAATATGAAAGTTGCTTTCAGTGTATTTACGTTTTTACTGCTTGACTGCTTATAACAAGAGTGGGTTTTATTACCGTACATCCTCCCCCACAATGCAATGTTTTTCTAATCAGTGCTGCTGCTGCGTGACGTGCCCAATGATGTCTGGCCACAGTGGTTTAGACTACGAGTCAATATCTGAGCCACTGAGCTGCACTTGACTCCAAATCATATTCACGTTATAACTCAGACTGAATATATCTCTTGTTATCACTTCACCTTCACACACACACACACACACACACACAGACACACACCCCCCCACTTCAAGAGATGTGATGACTTAATGCTGATTGCTCATGTTACACTGGCTTTCTCATCATCAGGCAGACCCTCTGGATTTATCTAATCACGCTCTGACTTCATGGTCGTGAGGCGCGATGGCGACATGCAGCCTGTTTTTTTGCGGTTGTCGTCCTCCTCCTTCACGAGCCCTCTAACCCCGTAAAACACGTCCGCGCCGGCCGCCCGGCGGCTCGGCCGCTGCTGATATTTAGACTCTAATGGGTACGAAGAGGATCGGTCGTGTGGGTGAGAGAGATGGTGGTTTCCATAGTAACGGTGCTCTCCCGTCTGCCCTCTCTTGCTGCCACTACGGAAGCGAAGTTTTCCGCTCCTGCCGAAAGCAAAGCTATGGTAAACCTGCCTGTCTTCATTCATCCTCCGCCTCTTTCCTCCCCTTCCTCTCTCTCTCTTCTCTCATCCGTGGCTCCCCGACTTTATCTGTTCGCTCTGGTGATGTCATGTCCTCTTGTTTTGTCGTTCTCAAAGTCAGAACATCTTCCTCTCTGTCTCACTCAGCGTCATCCCTCTTTTAAAAGTTTAATTCTCTGTTTCTGTGGAGGATCTGAACCGTTCCCAGACGTGTAGTGGTCAAGGTGTTTGCTGATATGGGTCATATTTTTACAGGATAAAAAACGCAGCAAAGATGCATCTATGTTCATAATTCATGTTAATTCAAGTTCTTTATTTTTGGTTGTATTTGTTTTCTTTTTAATTCTGTTATTAATAATGAAGTTTAACTGTTAAATATCAAGCCTACATTTTATTTCTTTGTCATTTGAAATTTAATTTGATCTTTTTAATGATGCATCAGACGATAGCTCAGTATCACAGATCCGACCGGTCGGGCTCTCATTCATGGAATCTGATAAATATTCACTGAGCTTGTATCTTGAATTGACTTTGATAATAATAATGATCTGAGTCATTTTATTGATTAGACCAAGGGAGAAAAAAAAACCCTCCCCTCCATATATCAGCCATGTTTTTCCATCAGCCCCAGCTGGCTTCATGTCACGCTCAAGCCTCAACCCATTTATTTCCCTCCGGGGCGTCTCCACAGCTCCTTTCAAGGACCCATCAGGCTGTGTGCCGCTAAGCAAATGTGAAATGTCATTTTCAGCGAGCCTCTGTTGTTGTTATTGTTGTTGTTTCCATCCTCCTCCTCCACCGCCTCAATTTCTTTGCTAAATTTCCACCTCCCGTCTTCACTCATCCAAATTTCTGCCTGGTATTTATTTCAGACTCTGAGGCCACAGAGGACGAGACCACAGAACCTCAGATGGAAACCAAAGAAGGGCCCGGGAGGCACCAAGACAAGGCTGGACGGAGAGGCCCTTCAGGTACTTCACCCGATATCTCCCTGATTCTCACAGCTTCAGCACTTCCGAGGTTATTGCTCCTCACAACTGTCATTTCAGCTTTTTTCCATTTTGGCGTTTCTATATTTTTATAGCAGCAGGTGACAAAGTAAATAGCACATGTCTGGTTGCTCATAAACTATTTATGAGGCGACCGTTAAAAACATTTTGCTGCCAGAAACACACGCACACGAAAATGATCCAGTGTGGATTGATCGATTTAACGGAGGCTTGTTATCAACCCGAGACGTGGACGGGTCGGATGAGACCCGATATGGCAGAACACATTAATCCCACATGGTGTGATGTAACGCTGTGACACACTGCCCTAGTTTCCAGCAGGGAACCTGTCTCAGGTCTGGACACTGAAGCTGTTACTGACACCAGCTTATGACACCAGTTATTTTAAGATATTCTTTACCAATTTAATTTAACGACGATGTACGTAAGTTTAATCAGTTGATTAAT